GTCCACCCCAATAGCTTCCCAAAAATGTCCCCACCATCGAATTTAGGCGTTACCTCAGTACATTGTAGGCAGTGAGTGAAGTTACACGCGCCTGAAATGCTCTGGGGTGTGTCAAACCCCACCTATGTACTCGCGTTTGCAATTTTGACATTATAAGTAAGTTTTTATTTTTGACTTATTTGAATCTGCATATTCAATTGTTTAATTTTTTAGCTAAAATATGATGTCATACAAAGCGGAACAGAAAAAGCTTGAAGCTCTATGGGCTGAAATTGATGACGATGCCATCGAATCGGGAAGCGATATTGACCATATCTCTGAAAGCGACCACAACACCGACTCGGAGCAGGATATCGCAATAGAAGATGTAGTTTCTGACGGAGATTCAGACATGGAGACATCAAAAACAGAACTTCAGAATGAGACGGAAAATAAAAGCACTTACGGACCTCCAAGAAACGAAGAAATGTATCTCGGAAAAGACGGAACACAATGGAACAAACTTGCTTCAAATAATAAACGGGTTCAAACAAGATCAGAGAACAATATTACTCATTTGCCGGGTGTGAAGCATTATGCAAAAATGCTAAACGTGCTTTAGATTGTTGGCAATTGTTTTTTGACCGACAAATGATCGAAGATATAGTGCGCTGGACCAATCTCAAAATTCAACAAAAATCAATTGCATATCAAAATAAATGCATGGTGAAACCAACCAATGAATGTGAAATTAAAGCATTTATCGGACTTCTTTATTAAGCAGGTATGTTTTATTCTAATCGTTAGAATTTTAGAGACTTATGGCAAACAGATGGGACTGGAGTCGATATATTCCGCAATACGATGTCTATAAATCGTTTTCAATTCCTGATGGTCTGTCTTCGGTTCGATAACATCGAGAATCGTAAAGACAGATTGGCTATTGACAAATTAGCTCCAGTTCGTCGAATTCTGGACAAATTTATTGAAAATTGTAAGCAGGCCTACACTCCTCAATATGTGACGATAGATGAGAAGTTGGAGTCTTTTCGTAAAAGATGTGCTTTCAAACAGTACATGCCCAAAATGCCTGCAAAGTATGGGATCACAGTGCAAACCCTAGTTGATGCCCGTTCGTACTACGTTTTAAATTTGGAAATTTATGCAGAAAAAGAGCCAGAAGGTCCCTACAGTGTTAGTAATTCCCCAATAGATATAGTAGAGAGGCTAATACATTTTATTTCTGGTTTCAACCGAAATGTGACCTTTGACAACTCTTACACTAGTTATGAATTAATGATAAAGTTGCTGAACGGGCATAAACTTACGTCAGTGGGCACGCTGAAAAAGAAGAAACGATGCATCCCAGCACAATTTTTGACAGTCCAGAACATAGAACAAATGACATTTTTATTTGGCTTTCAGAAAGATATTAAGCTTTTATCGTATGTGCCGAAAAAAAAAAAATAAAAACGTCCTACTGTTGTCCACCATGCACCATGATGGAGCTATTGATGAAGTAACTGGCGATAAAAATTTACCAGAAATAATAAGCTTCTACAACTTTACTAAAAGTGGAGTAGATGTAGTGGATGAACTGTCTGCATCATATAACGTATCTAGAAACTCACGGAGATGGCCTCTTACGATCGTGTTTTCTCGCTTGAATCCAGCCGCCATAAATGCTTCGGTGATATACAGAGAAAACAATCAAGATTTCAGACTTGCCAGAAGATTGTTTATCAAAATTTTGGGCTTTGAATTGATCCAGGACCACATATCTGAAAGAAAAAATAATCCAAGAATACCAAGGAGTATTGGAGTAAGATGCCCCTGCAGTGTCACCTGCCAAGATTCCAAAACTCATGGGAAGATGTTCAGTATGTCCAAGAAGCCAAGATCGGAAAACTAAATATTTCTGTTCAAACTGTGAATCATTACTGTGCCTGGAGCATGCTGTCATAAGTTGTCAAAATTGCATGAATTCAAATAGCGATTAATTTTTTTCTTTCACTGGGCAACCGGGCAGAGCTTTTCCTTGTATTATCTTACTATTAGATTTTCATTTACTATTGTATTTTTGATCATATGGTATTTATATTTTTTGGAAAGATTGTTCAGTTAAGTTGTGGTTTTTTCTTATGGATAATTGCCTATTATTAGTTTATTTTTAATTTCTTTTGAATAAAGGTGTTCTGATTATTTCTTTTTTGCTTAAATAGTCCTTAGATGATCACTTTAGACCATGAAATTAAAAAACAGCCAGAAAAAATTCTGATTTTCTTAGAAATTGGGGTTTGTCACACCCCACATATGTACTAATGACAGAAAAATCCACGTATGTGACGCCGGGTTCCGATTGTAACGTCGGTTTCCCATTTAATTTTACAGTACTATATGGTAACTATAAATACATTATTGATCTAGAAATTAATTTCTATGTTAGCATTTTTAATATAGCAAAAATTCCAGGATCCAGTTTTAGTATCCTTTTCTTCAGTAGATTTGGGTATTAATGATTTTAACATAGCTCCTCTTCTTACCTAATACAGTTTTGATATCATCTAAGAGCAATCACTTTCTTATCCTCATCATCAATAATGAAATCATCTTATATTAAAAGGAAATGGAAACTCTGAAAAATAATTATGACCTTATCACTGCAGCCGTTAAAAATCGGGCAGATCAAATTTTGTTTTGTAACAATAACGATATGGATGTTAAATAATTTGACAAATGTATACTTCAGAAATTAGAAGACTGGATTTCGATGAATTTGAAATGTAAACCATCAACACTTTAAAAAAATTCATACCTTGAATGAACGAGTGTTGTATAGTATGTAGAAGTAAAACCTAATAAAAATTTTTAAAAAACTTTGCAGACAAAATCAGAAAATTACAAAATTAATTTTTACAGACTGGGTCCAAATAATAACTTGTAAAAATAAAGAGTTAAAATTATTAATGGATTTAATTCAACGATAATATATTACCTGACATCTCACCAACGCTAGTATGGAGCAAAATAGAACAAATTAAATATATTTCCTTCGATTTTCAATGTTCTTCTTGTTTTACAACGATATCTCTATATTTACCCAAAGTCTACGTTTCATCTGGTTAAAGATATTTTTGAGGAAAATTTAAGAAATGTCTAGTGAACTTTTCTGCGTTTTCTACCTTTACGGTCCATTTCTAGTCTTTCAGTCGTAAGGAGCTTATACTGTCTTTATTTACCTAGATTTAGCCGTATGGCTCTTACTAAGGGGAAAATTCACTCATCCCAGATACCTACGGTATCAAAAGGATTGTCTCTAGTGAGACTCTTTTTGTATTATCGAGCCCTAGGTGACTTGGTATGTTGTAGTATCTCCCAAGAATGTTCGTACACATTTGGACGTCAAGAGTGGCACAGTTTTTTGGGTGGTCTTATAGAGATGTTTATTCAGATCCAGCTTTTTTATGTTTTCTAAGAGATTCTATGGAATAAATCCTGTAGTAAAAAAAATAATAGGTATCGTGTGGGTACTTGCTATTCTCCATTGTCTCCTTATTTGTATTTCCATATCTTTGTAATTGGCGATTGTTTCGTTATATTTATCACGCAGATTATTGTTGCTAGTTATTGCCATATCTGGGAAGGTGGATAGGAAGAAGAAATTAGAAAGGAGAAAGAAATTACCCAAAACGAAGAGTTTCTGATGGTTAGATTTATAAAAGTATAAGATAAAGCATTTAAAACACTTACTTAGGGAATCAGCGGAAGTTAGTTAAATTCCAATAAACAAAAATATATGAAATTAGCAAAACCGTAAAAGTTAAAAATTACTAATTTTTCTTCCCTATTAAAAAATACCGTTTTATTTAAATTTTTTTATTGTTATGACATTATTATATATGTTTTAGAATTTTACAAAAATGATAAAATCACATTTAAATATCTTAATTTAGAAAATTGTTATACGTGGATTCAGTGATGACCATGATGTCCATTGTGTCCATTGTGTCCATTGTGACCATTATGACCATTGTGACCGTTTTGTCCATGATGTCCATTTTGCCCGTGATGCCCGTTCTGCCCATTGTGTCCATGATGACCGTTGTTACCGTTGTGTCCGTTATGTCCGTTATGCCCATTATGACCATTATGATGTCCGTGAGGATTATGTAAATGTAGTGGCAAAGTAGGACTGTCTGGTACTGGTTGTTCGGTAGGAGTATGAGGACGGACATGGTGCGGGTCAAAGTTTTTGCAATCAATAGGTGTTAGTACGTAGTAAGATATGCAACCAAAGGCAACTAACGCCAACTGTAGTTTCGAAACCTAAAAATAAGAAAAATATAAAATAATTTGTACTCCTTATACAACAAATTTAAATACAAAAATTTAAAAACAAATATGAAATAAGTATTTGAAAAAACTGATGGATTCGACCGTTACTTAATGGAAATTCATTTAATATAACAATAAAACACTAAAAACTTTTGTTTTCAAAAACTTTTATGTGGAAAAACTTTTGTATTATAAAATATAAAGTGGAAAGAGTATGTCAATAAGTAGAATAACCCGGATTTAGAAAAGGGAACAGCACCTGTGACCAACTATATACTTTAAAAATCCTAATGGAAAAGACTAACGAACACAATATCCCATTATGTCTGACTTATATAAATTATGAAAAAGATTTTGATAGCGTAGAACTATGGGCAATAGAAGAAGCATTAGTCAACAACCGGATCGACTCCAGGTACAGAACATTAGTACATAATATTTACAAACTAGCTGAAATGATAGTGACGTTGGGTAATGGAATTAAAACAAAACGAGTAAAAATCAACCGAGGAGTGAGACAAGGAGACACAATATCTCCAAAATTGTTTATAGCTGCCCTGGAAGATATCTTTAAGTCAATGAACTGGAAAAATAGGGGAATTTCTGTTAACGAAAGATACTTGAACTATCTTAGACATGCAGATGATGTATTACTAATAGCCGACACGTGGAATGCACTGAATACGATGATTGAGGAGCTACACAGAAAACCCCTAAAAATAGAACTGATAAAAAATTTCAGCAAAACTAAACTAATGTCAAACAAAGTTGACAAACCTATGATAAAAATCCAAGGGACAGAGATAGAACACGCAAATGAATATACATATCTGGATCAAAATATCAAGGTAAGCAAAGAAAATCAGACTACCAAAATAAGTAGACGTGTAAAAATGGGATGGGCAGCATTCGAAAAACTCTTCATACGTATTTAAAAATAAATATATACCTCAATGACTGTGAACTAAAGTGTTTAATTCCTGTATCCTACCTGTACTTATATATGGAGCCCAAACCTGGACATTTACTAAAATAAACATGGAGAAGATCAGAAAAACTCAGAGAGCTATGGAACGACAGATGCTAAGTATCTCACACAAAGACCATAAAACCAATGAAGACATTCGTAATAGAACAAAAGTTGGTCGGGAATTGTCGGTCATATGAAGCCTAAAGACCACGAGGAAGACCGCAAATGGGATGGAGCGACGATATTAACAGAACTGCAGGGCCAATGTGAAAGCGTCTTACAAACAACAGAGATAAACGGCAAGAATTAGAAGAGTCCTAAAAAAAATTATAAGACATATTGTAATTGGAATAGTCGAAAAAAACTCACAAAAAAGATTTGGATATAAAAAGATCTGCTGTGGAAAAACTAAGTTAAAAATACTAAAATAGTTGAGAAATCTGTACAAGCAATGACAAGAAAGTCAGTTGTCTCTGTTCTTCAAAGTTCGCTAAAGAGGAAGTCAGAGTGGCTTTAGCAAGAACTAGAGCTAGAGCTAGAATATGATAAATTATACGATAAACATAAAGGTAGATATGATAAGAGGAAGATATATAAATATTATATTTAAGCAAATAGCAAAAAATTAAAAAGTTTAATTGGGTCAGGTCTTTGTAAGACGAAAATTTTAAAATTCATATTACACAAAAAGAATGTCAAAAAGCTAAAAAACTTAAAAACAACTAAACGAAAAATGTATACAAAAAATCACAACGTTACAACAGTGGTTTAAAAACTAAGTCATTTTTGGAGTTTACTACAAACAAATTTACTCACCATTTTGTTTTTTAAAATATTATGCTTAGCTTGTGTCTGATTGTCATAAACAATTGTACTGTATCTATACTCCCTATTTCGCGTGTTTATATATTACTACACTGCACTTTACTTTAAATTAAATAAATAAATTAAATAATTTTTAAAATCCAAATTATTTTAAATCTTTTCTTAATAAAAAATAATAATGAGGAATTCGATAACATTGCGCATTAGGTTGCTTCAATATAGGATATTAGAAAAAGGAAAATTTTAATGATATGTTAATCGTTCTACTGATATAATTAATTACAAAATAAACCATGAATTAAAATTTTTCATTGTAAAAAATAGAGTTTCAAAAATTCTAACAATTATTTATTGTTTGAAGGGTAAATACGTATTCACAATATCAGGTATTAGGCCAGTCTGATTATGTAAAAATCATCGATTTCACGGCAAAATTTTTCGCAGATATCTGAAGCTTTTAAGACATTTTTTATAGCCCTTTTTCTATCCGAATTGTCGAATAAAGGCCTCTCCCATTTCTCGCCATTCATCCCTGTTGTGTGCTAGGCGTTTCCACATTGGTCCTGCGACTCTTTTGATATCGTCGCTCCAGCGCATTTGAGATCTTCCTCTTGGTCTCTTCGCATCGTACAGTTTCCGACTTCTTTGTTTCATCTACCATCTTCGAGACGTTCGTTGTGTCCAGCCCATTTCCATTTTAATTTAGCTGCTTGTGTCGCGGAGTCCTTTATGTTTGCTTTGTTCCGGATTGCTTCGTTCGTTTGCCGATCTATTAGTGAGATACCAAGCATCTGTCGTTCCATGGCTCGCTGAGTTTTTCGAATCTTGTCCATGTTCTTTTTTGTGAATGTCCAGGTTTGAGCTCCGTAAGTAAGAACGGGAAGGATACAAGAATCTTTGGTTCGAAGGTTTTGGGGTATATTTTTGTCTTTCAGTATGAGAGTTTTCCAAATGCGGCCCATCCCATTCTTACTCGTCTGCTTATTTCGGTAGTTTGGTTTTCTTTGTTTACCTTGATATTCTGACCCAGATATATGTATTCTTCTAGATGTTCCACTTTTGTTCCTTGGATGGTTATCGTCGGTTGATCATCTTTATTCGACATTAGCTTAGTTTTACTCAGATTCATTTTCAGTCCTTTTTTTATGGATTCCGTATGAAGCTCATCGATCACCGTCTTCAGTTCTTTCCAACTGTCGGCTATTAGTACTACGTCATCTGCATATCTTAGATGGTTTACTTTCCGTTTATCGATAGTGCCTTCGTTTCCCAATTTAGTGATTTAAAGATGTCTTCAAGTGCGGCAGTAAATAGTTTTGGAGATATGGTGTCTCCCTGTCTTACTCCTCGGTTGATTTTTATTGGCCTCGTTTTCATTCCGTTATCCATCGTGACTACCATTTCAGCGTGTTGATATATCTCTAGTGTTGGAGAAAAAGGGCATAAGTTTAAATCTGTTGTTTTTCAGGAGGATTTATTAAAGGTTTCATTCTTGTCGTATAAATCCATTTTTATACTTATACTTATATTTATACTAATATTATAATCCGATATATTAACCAAACCTATAGACAATAATAAAATAGGTTATATCTTTTCAAATTGATGATTTTTGATTGACTTAAGTCCTCTGGATCTGACTTTGATTGAGACTGCTGACTTAAGTCTATATGAACTAACATGCTCGCCATTAAGTATAGTAACACTGTTATTATGGTTAAATAATAATAAGTATGGTAGTAAACGAAGAACATCTAGAAACACAGGTATACAAAAACGTAAATTAATGGCTGAAGTTTTATTCGCTGAAAAAAAAACAATACAAGTAAAATACATCATTGCAAATATTTATTACGTATGTACCACTTCGAAGTAAGGATTTTCAGCGTCTGGATCTAGGTCTTCTAAATCTGGGTCAACGTCACACTTTGTACACATCTGGAATAAGGGGTAGTAATTCCAAGAGATCATCTCAAGAGATTGCAAGTGGCTCTGTATATTTTTTTGATGAAGAGAGTACAACCGGACGGCCACGGCGATTTAAATTCAAAATGGGGAAGTCTTCTGTTTCTTGAAGTGGTTGTCTCGAAGTTTGTATATCTCAGCCATTTGCAGTCGTGCCATAAAAATTTTCGTTTGTCACTTGTTTTCTTTTTACAAAGACACTTTTCAACAAGGCTGCAAAGTCATAAAAATCATCTTGTGACATTTCAAGCACTTGGAAAGGTTTCTTTTTATTTGCGCATCGTATTAATGTCGTCCAATCATGTGGATGTGATATTTGCATACCACTTGTTCTTTTTTGTTTTTCCATTACGGAATTATCCGCATCACATTTCATGTGTGAGTGGTCTGACACAAAAAATTTGTGATCAATTTCATCTAAGGAATTTTTTATTTGAAGAATAGTTAAGAACGTACTTGCTACATAGAAATTCTTATTTTGTCCACCGCAAGTATCCGAGTACAAAATCACTTTCTTCACTTCGGGTAGTAAATTCATAAGCTCCTTAAAAATACAGGAAGCAATTTCGTTTGCTCCTCTCATTGCCATCGACTCGTGCCATAATTAACATGAAGCAAAACCATTTCCACAATTGTGTATTGTAAGATTGTAGGTTTAAAATTTTCTTTATTTATTTATTTATTATTATTATTATTTATTTGTTTATAATTTATTTATTATATTATGTATTAATACCCTATATCTAAAATCTATTCTGCTGTTGACCAGTGCTTTCTCAATAGCCCATAATTCTATGCTGTCAAAAGCTTTCTCGTAGTCTATAAATGCTAAACAGATTGGTAAATTGTATTCGTTAACTTTTTCTATTAGGACCTTTAGTGTGTTTTAAGACATAGGTGGGGGTTACTAGATGACGAATAGATGAAAAAGTACTCTTATTTTTACGTTGCGTTTTTATAAACAATAATTTATGGTCACAATTTTATTTTTTTACTATTTTGAAAGTGGAGGGATAACTGTTTCAGCTTCCTTTGTTTTCGAGATCACTACTTCAAATTGAAACATGTAGGAAAAATTTACATTATCTTGGCTTCCATTGCAGCTAGAAGCCTCTTTTTTTAATGTGGGTAGTTCGTCGAAATATGGATAACTACATAGTTTTTACTGGTCAAGAAATATGGGAAACCTCGGAAAAATTGAGTCCATTTGAAATTCACCGTAAAACTTATTTTTTTTTAATCTGGCTGGAATAGTCTGTCGCAGTATTAAATAAGGATGACATAAATTTTCACCCCCCCCCCTCCCGAAATCTCGAAAAATTCCGGAACATCAACATGTATATTTTTTTCATTTTTATATCAATGATGTAGTAATACTTATATATTTTATAAATTAAATTTCAGGTAATTTTTTACACATTATATTATTATATTCCTTATATTAATTATTATTATTTTCGGAGATTTTCCGAGATTTCCGAGTTTCAGTTTAATTTAAAAAAAGTAAGTTTTTACGGTGAATTTCAAATGGATTTAATTTTTCCATAGTTTTCTATATTTCCGGACCAGTGAAAACTACGCGGTTATTCATATTTCAACGAGCTACCCCAGATTAAAAAAATAGGCTTCTAGCTGCAATAGAAGCCGAAATAATGTAAATTTTTCCTACATGTTTCAGTTTGAAGTAGTGATCTCGCAAACAAACGAAGCTGAAACAGTTAACCCCTTCACTTTCCTATGTCGATCTTTCGAAAGTACCTTCGTTTCGAAAAATTGGATGAATTTTATAGCTATAAGTTTCGATATAAAGGTTAGATCTGCATTCAAAATTTGTGCAAATTTTACTTCTTAATGTGTATAAACATTGGACATATGATTTTTTAAGAAAGAGTCTCCAACTTTGTTGCTATTGGTCATAGAAGGTTTTTTTTTTAATGTGAGTTTTTTTCAGCTATCCAATGATTATACGTACAAGTCTGTAGCTTGAAAAATATAGAAGGTATTACAATTGTTACAATGCAATATGCATTTAATTTCTGAGATAGTTTCAGTCTTAAGAATCCTATAGTTATAAGTTCAATAGTTTAATAATATTTAGCCCCAGGGATAAATAAATTTAAAAACTTTTAAACTATTTGACCGATCGGACAATTTCGCTCAAATTTAAAAGACGGCAATTCCTCGATGTACAAATGTATTGTTAACATTTTATTTTGTTAATAATAAATAAAATTTATAAATTAGTGCAAAAAACTGCTTTTTTGCAAATATCTCCGTATATTAATTATCAATTTTAATTAAAACAAAAAAACGGGAAAATAAAGATATTCTTAACACAGAATAATAAACAAACAGAATACCCACTCTCCACGGAAAATTAAG